GCTGATTTGTAGACATCAGGGTTAGAAACGACAAAGAGGATCTATTAAAAGTAGAATTTTAAAAAAAATAAATAATCATCATCAAATCAATATTTCGATCGAATTATAGAATAAATTCCCTAGATCTGAATTGCATAAAGTTTCACATCCATTTCAAAAACATACATTCTTTGGTCTTCGAATAGTCACACGGTTGATACCGGGTACGACTTTCAACCCTAATTTTTGCATTGCCTTGCGAGCCTTTTTTTCTCCACGGCTTTGGATTTTAGCAATATCAGCTGGAGCAACGCCAGCTGGGATACCACCGTCCTCCTCTAAGCTAGGAACAGAGTCGTCATCAGATTCAACAGTAGCACCTTTTTTTTCCAGTACATTGGAGTCTTCAATCTCTTGAATTTTTACGCCATCTTCGTCTTTTGTCTCGCCCTCGGCATTAGAGCTTTCTAAAGTTATTTCTTCGTCCGTAATTTCTTGAATCTTTGGTTCGTTGAGCTCTGCCATTATTTTTATGTGAAGTTTGAACTAGAATCCACTTTTTTTTTTTTAATTTTTTTTTCTTTTGAGATGGCTTCATTTGAAGAATATTTCTTTTTAGCATATCAAACATTCGATGAAATTATAAATGAATACTTACAATCCTTAAGTGAGAAAAAAAAATTGAAAGTATTAATTGCAGAGAACATGGTTAATGAATATTTGCAGATTTTAAATGATCCTAAAAATACTTCTATTGCAAATTCTAATATACACCACCAAGTTAAAAGTAAGGAGGCATTCATAAATAATGTTATACAAGAGGAAAGGGGTTTCACAAAAATAACATTTTTTTTATGTTTTTTTGCTAAGGTAGAAGGGAGTCAAAGAAAAATAACATAATTTTTATAAAAATATTAATATCTCGTGACCCAGTAGTCTAAACTGGATGAATTTGGTACCATTAGATTCGTCTCTCTAAGAGGAATTCAATGATACCAAAACTATTTAATTTGGATCACTGAATCAAAAAAAGATATTAGAAAAAACTATTTACTATATGATTTTATATGAAATTATTATATAATTAACAGTTTTTTGCTTATATCTTTTGATCCAGTAATCCAAATTGAATAAGTTTGGTACCATTGGATTCCTTTTACTGAGACGAATCTAATGGTACCAAATTTATCTAATTTGAATTACTGAGTCACAAGTTAATTAAGATATTGTAAAAATTTATATATAAACATACAGATTTTTAATTTTTTTATATAGTCTAGAGGGGTCAAAAGGTTCTATGTGGGGGTATATAATGTTATTTATGGATGCCTCCTAATTATTCATCTCAAAGAGTCAGTGGAATTGTAATATTAATATATAAAGAAAAATCATCAAATAATTAAAAATCTGTAGTTTTAAAAGAGAGATTATATTATATTATAAAGAAACACTTAGCTATTGAACATAGAGGTGCTAGAGCTACCTATGCAGAAGTATCAAATAAATATCATGGTGTAAAAAAATGTTTGGTTGATAAAATTGTTAAAAATATAAAATATATAAAACACAAAGATTATTTATTAAACTTTTAGTTATAAAACCTATTATTAGTAAATTTTTTATACAACAACTTCAGGTATAAACTATGTTTTTTTTTTAAAATAATAATAATAATAATAATAATTAAATAACAAATAAGTTTTTTTTTAGATAGATTTTATTGTTATAAGAATAAGAAAAAATAGAGAATTTAAATAGATCATACATATTAGAGATCATTTCTCTCATTTTTCTTAAACCTATATTTTTACAGACAAATGCACAGCAAAAGTGACTATATTTTTGTTTGATATATTTACTGTATTTGGTTTGCTGATCTTTCTACAAAGTGATAATAGGCATAAATTCATAGCAGATATTAAAATATTTCATAGAAAGCTACAGAAATCACAAATACAAGGTTTTGTTGAAAGGGTGAATTATATATTTTGAAAGATAATCTTAGAAAGTGGTTTAAAGATCATTAAAATAAAAATGAAAATTTATGTTAGATAGTTGGTTTAGCAACTATAGTTTATTTAATGAATTTATCTATATATTGTGCTTTTAATAAAAAGCTATTTGAGCTAGTTTTTAGTTATAAACTTTGTAGTCATTATATTCTTATTGATCAGCTTTGGTCTTAGAGAATTTAGTATGAAAAAAATATTCCTGATAATGTTTAAATTAAAGATAATATCTAGTTTGATGTTAATGAAAATAGTATTCAAACTGAATATTATGATAATGAATATAATGAAAATTTGATTCAAAATTTGTCACAAAATAAAAATAATGATAGAGATAGTATGTCTTTTAAATATTAAAATTAAAATTTTCAAATTTATTTTCAGATTAGAATTTTTCATTATCTAATAGCATACTTCAGTATATAGTAAGTATTAAGTACCAAAAAGTGAAGCACTTAAGTTTTAGAATATGAAAATATTTAAATTCATTGTCATTGTTACATATCTAACATAATGATAAGATTAGAATAAAAATATATATAGCTGTAATTACGTAATTAATTTAATATTGTTTTTATTTTAATAAAAAAATAAATCAGAGTTCTTTGTTGCTGCTGCTATCTAATATAATAGTATATAATTCAAATATATATAATTAAAATTAGATATTCTATAGAATAAGTAGGTAATATAAGTAATAAGCTTTGCTAATAATTAGTAATCATTAATTTTTAATATTGGAGTTGCAGAGTTTGCAGAGTTTGTCCACCTATTCTATAGAACATCCTTAGAATTAAGTATTTAAATGTTAAATCATTCCTTAATAAAAAAAATAATAATTTAAGGATTTATTACTGCTGTTACTGCTTAATACAATAGTAAGTATTAGAATTAAAGTGTATTAATTGTAGTTAAATATTAAATATGAAATTGTTTTTTAACAAAAAAAATTCAGAATTTGTTGTCGCTATCGCCTAATATAATAGTATTACATATAATTTAAAAATATATAATTTGAATTAGTATTTAAATATGAAATTATTCATCAATAAAAAAAATAATAATTCAAGAATTCATTACTGCTACTGCCATCTAACACAATGGTAAGTATCAGAATTAAAGTGTATTAATTGTAGTTAGATATTAAATATGAAATTATTTTTACTTCAACAAAAAAATTCAGGATTTGTTACTGCTATTGCCTAATATAATGGTATTATAATTCAAATGTGTATAATTTGAAATAAATGTAAAATCATTCTTCAGTAAAAAAAATAATAATAATTCAAGGATTTGTTATCATCACTATCACCTAATACAATGTTAAGTATTAAAATTAAAGTTTTTTTTTAATATTAAAGTGACCACTTAAGGGTCTGGCACGTTTTATTAAACTTTGATTCAAATGTCAGGGCAACTCATTTGGCTACTTCTGACTTTGTTACATTAACGAGGGTACAACTAGCCATATGTACAACTTTTGGTTATCTATTTAAGCAGTCTTATATATGTAACCCATATGAACTACACTAGATGCTATACTTATAACCCAACTAAGGGGATTATCTATTTAAACACTCTGATCAACTTAGCACTGTTGGATATTCTCCTCAAAGAGAAACTGCTGAGAAGACCCCTTAGGACTTTAAAGCAAACACATACTTTTATATAGAGGGGTTCTTTATCTTTGTGATAAATCTACTAGAGCGGTCTATATTCCACATATGTATTATCTAGATTTTCGGTAACTTACACTTAGGCCGAGGCTAAGTACTTATAGCTTTTTTATCTCTGCTACCATTACCTACTCTGTGCTTTTGCAAAGTTCACCCAAACCCCAGCATCCACTATATGAACTATCACCTGTATACCTGTTATCCCAAACTTCCAATCCAGATGGCCCAGAAGGGCTGTAACCTGCTCCTAGTTATCACGATTGAGTCCTTTTTCTTCAGTTACTCTCTGGTAGCCTGGTTGGTAGAGTGCTTTACCAAACACTTCAGTCCTGTTTGGTTCTTCGGTATCCTGGTGATAATCCTTTACGTAATACCGTTAAAGATCTGAACTACCTCTTTACTCAGGTCTTGCCAAGTGGGCTTCCATGTACACTGACCTCAGATTTACACGACTACTTCACTTGGGTTTCATGTAACTCATATATTACACTATTGTTCCACAGTCTCCCAGTATGAGCTGGTGTAACTTAGTTACAGATGTCGATCTGCTCTTACACTCACAGTCGCTATAACACTATACTGAGAATTCGAATTTTCATCGCTGGTGAGATTCGAACTCTGGTCTTGCCACTTGGGGATGTGACAACTTCACTACTTTACTAAGTCACCACACCTATTAGAATTAAAGTTTATATAACTATAATTATATTAAAGTATAAAATTATTCTTTAACAAAATAATATTAATAAAATAATAATTTAGGATTCATTATTGTCTTTGCTGCCTAATATAATAGTATTAGAATTAAAATGTATATTGCTATAATTAAGTTAAAATATAAAATCGTTCTTACTTTAAAAAAAAATCAGAATTCATCATCATTGTCATTATTGTCATCATTGTCATTATCATCATCTAATATAATGATATTAGAGTTAAAGTTTATATAATTATAATTAAATTAAAATATAAAATCATTTTTACTTCAACAAAAATATCAGAATTTGCTATTGTCGCCACCTAATATGATAGTAAATATTAAAATTAAAGTTTACATAGTTGTAATTAAGTTAAAGTGTGAAATTATTCTTCAGAATTTGTTTTTGTTACCACCTAATATAATAGAATTAGAATTAAAATGTATATAATTATAATTAAGCTAAAATATGAAATTATTCTTACTTTAACAAAAAAAAATATCAAAATTTATTATCATTATTACCGCTGTCTAATATGATAAAAATATAGTATAAGTTAAATATAAAATAGGCGGTTAAAAGTAGAAACCACCCAATTTGAAATTTTAAAAAAATTTTTAACTAAACTTTTATAGCCCATATCTCAACAACTATTTAATCAAATTTAATAATTTTTTTTAAATCAAAATTTTATAGATTTTAAAATTCAAATAAAAAAAATTTTATCAAATTTGATCAAGTGGTTGTCGAGATATGAGCTTTAAAAGTTTAGTTAAAATTTTTTTTAAAATTTCAAATTGGGTGGTTTCTACTTTTGACCGCCCAAATATTAACCTTAATTAAAAATAAATATTTATACTTATCTAAAAAATTACAAATTTTGTTATAGCTGCTGCCTAATGTGATAAAGAATATAGTAAGTATTTAATAAGAAATGATAACTGAAATTAAGTATTAAATATAAAATTATTTATATTAATTTTTAAATTTTAAAATTCATTATCTTCTAATATAGAGGAAAGTATAGTAAGTATTGAATTAGAAATAATATCTATAAATAAAAACATATCTACCGATTTGGTTTCACCCCAAAATTAGCCAATCATGATCGAGAATTATTTGCTATTAAAACTTATTATAAA